TCTCCGACTTTGCACTCATCTCAACGCTCGTCTCCTTTGGTATCAATTGATTAAACTCACGAATCGTATCATCGATATCACGGATCGCTTCCTCGAGTTCATCACTACTGGCATCGAGTGCTGACTTGGCTGCCAGCAAATGGTTCAACCCTTCCAGTTGTGGCGCCAATTGGAGCTCAATATCGCCAACGAGTCCCTGTATTTGTGGATCAGCTCCGATGCCGAGGTCTTCCACAGTAGTCAACAGATTGTTAAGTGTCTGCAACTGATTGTAAGTCTCATCCGTGGTATTCATGTTACCAATCAATGCACTCATTTGTTGATTGCTTTCAAACATGCATTTCATCAACTTTTGCTGGCCTTTTATCACGTTTAGATTGGCCTTTGCGACAGCCAATGAATGCGCGCCCGAAGCCATTCCTCCTCAGTGTGTATAGTAATCCAAAAACAAGAGCTGATCCCAAGATATGGATCAGTGAATGAATGGCAAAACACGTGGAAATATAAATGACAAATAAAACCCCGTTTTTGCCCGTAATTTATGGCAAATATAATGACATGAATTTGAGCGCAAAGTTTGAAACATAATCTCAACATTTAATTAACAATTTATTTATTTATTATTTTATATCGTGTTTTGATTTAATATTTAAATGTAATTTAAGTGACAAAGACGTGGACAAGGAGGACAAGGATTGATCCCAATTTATTGCCACTATATAGACATTTTTTGATCTCAAAACTTTAAGTTTTACAAATAAAATTATTTATAAAATTTATAAATAATATACAAAATAACCTTCAATTGGTTTCAGGCGTTATCGCATTATCTTAAATAAAATCAATCAAATCGATTAATATTGCATTTTTAGCTTAATCTATTCTAACATAAACATACATTATATTGGCGATATATAAATAAACCATAATTTATAAATAATACTGTTTATAATTTATAAACTTTATTTTTACCATGTATAAAATATTTGTATTTACAAGAACAACTAATTTTTAAAATTACAAGTATAGTCATTTTAACCCTGTTATTAAATTTTGAATTACAACTTTTTAACAATATTTATTACTAACTTAATACAAATATTAAACCAACAAAAACATGCCAAAAACACCGTCATCGGTGGTCAGCAGTGATAATCAACACCAAAATCACCCTGATAATCAAATTGATGATCACGAACATCTAGGCACCTGTGGAATGGGCTCGTGGCGGCCCAAATGGCTACAGGTGTTTGCGAGCCCCCTATTTTTCACGGTCAATTTTACACTGATCGGGATCATTCAGAGTCTGTCGGGCACTTATATGATGTCCAATTTCAGTACATTGGAAAAGAGGTTTGGCTTCGACTCAAAAATGTCCAGCGCTATACTGATTGCCGATCAGGTCATGGAAATGCTGGTAAGCGTTGTATTTGTGATAATAAATAAATCATAATTTATCATAGTTAATAAATTATAATAATATCAAGTCATATCAATTTGTTAACAAAGTTAACATTATATGAAATGTTATAAAAATACAGAAATTTATTAGTAATAATTTATTACTATAATTATAAGTAAATACATTTAATTATTATTACCAAGGTAAGCCCGTTTATAGGCTACCTGGGCACCCGATTTAGCAGACCACGATTATTAGCATTTGGCCAGTTAGTACAAGCGTTGGCCATGTTCATTAACGTATTGCCCTACATGGTCTACGGCGCGGGCACACATCTACTCACCGACGACAGTCTACTGTCGGTCACTTTGGCTAAAAACGAGACCCGATACGAGTCGTGTCCGGCCGATCCCACTGGCATTGACTGCTCCGGTGGTAAGCACTCGACGGTATGGCCGGCGTTCATCATTTTGCTGGTCGGTGGGGCTGTGAAGGGCTTTGGGTATACGACCTTTTGGGTGATCGGCACGCCTTATATCGATGACAATGTCAGCAAAAATAACTCACCTATGTACTTAAGTATCATCACCTCGCTCAGATTGATCGGACCGGCCGGTGGTTTCCTACTGTCAGGACTGGTGTTACGTTTTTATGAGAATCCTTTTTGTATGTATTAATAATTTAATTTGAATAATTTTTATATTTGTTAATGATTGAATTACTCATTCTTATAGTTGACCCTGGTGTTAACCGTAGGGATCCCCGATTTATTGGCGCATGGTGGATCGGGTTTGTGGCGATTGGTGTGTTATTACTGGTGGCCAGCCTACCCTTGTTTTTATTCCCACCACAATTCAAATCAGCCCATGTTAAAATCAACAATATAAGAGACAATAAAACTAGTTTGAAAGGTAAATAAAACAATAAATACTAAATAAAATTAAATAATTATTATTAACTACCTGGGTTGGAATTAATGGTTTGTTTTTGCACAGGGATGTTACAAAGCGTCAAACGGTTATTCAAAAACAAATTGTTCGTGTTCAATTTGGCGGGCAACGTGTTCAGGCACACTGGTTTCGGTGGCTATTATATTAACAAAACCAAATACATTGAGTCCCAGTTCCGGCAGACCAGCTCCGGGGCCAGTATCCTGACGGGCACCACAAGCATACTGCCAATGACTGTGGGTATTATGATTAGCGGTATGATAATCAAGTACATTAAGCCCCGGCCCCTCACACTTGTCGTATACATGTTTGCTGTCGAGTGGTTTGCAAACGCCGGTATGTTTGCCGGTATGTTCATCGGGTGCCCACCCCTACAACTCCCGCCTACACTTACAGTAAATAACAAGTATACAATTTGTTCAATATAAACATCTAGCAAACTATATGTGATCAAATTATTATTTTCAATCTAGATTTACATTGAATGCCGTGTGTAATGATGGCTGCAATTGCACGACTAGTGTATTCACACCAATCTGTTCGGCCGATAGGGTGACCACATATTTCTCGCCCTGTTATGCTGGCTGTACGGCCATAGACAGGGCTACCCAGGTATGAGTGATGGTGTAGTTTAATATTTGTGAATATTAAACATTTTACTCGTGATAAATTTTTTTGCAGACAATGTCGGGCTGCGAGTGCATCGGCAACGGAGGTGTGGCCACTGCCGGGTACTGCCCGAGTGATACCGCCAATTGTGACACACTATATATTTATCTATTGGTGATGACAATCGGTGGTATCATAACGTCGACCGCCAGCACCGGTAATATTCTGCTTACACTCAGGTTTCATAACAATTTTAATTAATTAATTATTTTAAATTATAAGTTTTTAATTAATAATTATTAATAGGGTTATTGAGCCCAAAGACAAAAGCTTTGCGATGGGAATGATCGTAACCATTATGGCATTATTTTGTAACAATTAATTAAACAATATTTAATTATAATAACTATATTTATAATCATGGTTAATTATAAATGATCATCGCTCCCATATTCACTAGCATTCGTACCGTATCCGTTAATATTTGGTACAGTAGTGGACTCAGCCTGTCTGGTATGGGAGAGTAAGTGCGGTAAAATCGGTAACTGTTGGCTATAAGACCAGGATCGGTTTCGGTATACACTGCACGGCACGGGCATTTATAACCATTGGTTCACTCTTTGATTTGGGAATCATTTATAACGCAAATCTCATTCAAAACTTTTACGACGAGCCGACCGGTGCTGATGTCAGTGATGGCGAAGAGACTGATCCCAAAAGTGATGATAGAAACGATATTCGCATGACTTGAGTGTTGGTGTGGTTTGAATACTACCGGTGTTGAAGATTGAGATGTGATAAACAATTTTAGTTAATTATATATATAATTCAATAAATGTTTAATCAGTTTTAGTTTATTTGTTAGAATAATTAATTAAATTATAATTGTAAACAAATTTGCATTTTTAATTTCAATTTTCGAATATTTTTATATGAAATAAATTCATTTTGAGATAATTTTAAACAAAATACTTTATATAATTAATGATTTATAAATTATAAATTTTAAACAATAATTTCAAAACATAAAATAAATGAAATGGTTTTATAAATTTTAATCTAAACAAATTATTCATTTAAAGCATAATTTATATTATTAAGATAATAAAGTACAAATGATAAAATACGTTTAGAAGTTACAAAAATTACACACAAAATGATAAATGTGTTAAAAATATTATTTTGAATGAATTGCCGAAAAATTCATATAAAAAACAAAAAAATTTCAATTGAATTACAATTACTAATACTAATACAGGTAATTTAATAAATACAGTAATAAATGAATATTAAATGTATGCCAAAACAATCTATTGTTTGGGTCGAAGAGTAGTGTTAACCAAACGGCGATTAATTTTGAGTGGGTTATAACGATAGCCGGGTGTTTCATGATATCTTCGGTGCGAAATGATATCCGATGGCCAACTCGTGCGGTACTGACAACCGGGTCGTCCACAGGCATAGGGTTTGATATTGTTGTGTGCGTTCGTGTGAAACAAACCATAGATAGCCTCCGTCATGAGCGATAGTTCACATATACTGTACGTATTTATACATAAGCTGTATTATGGAACCCTTTACAATGCACATAACAAAGCATATAGGTTTTGGTCCCTTTTATGA